ACTGTTTAGTATTACTTCCAACATCTTCCATGAGTACTTCAGCTAAACTTTCAGCTTTTCATCCCATTGTCCTCCACTGGCATAGTATTTAGTATATAGCCATATTATACCTCTCAGTATTTGCTGAGGGTAATTTGCATGCTCAGCTCTTCATGTGTCTGCTCAGGCTCTGTCTGATTTGCCTTCCTCTCATTTCTGTCCTTCTGAAACACTTCACCCTGTTCATTTACAAGTTTTACCTTGTTTTTTAAGTGTAAAGGAATTACTGTTTTTCTGTAATCACTATAGAAAATGTCATTTTTTTTTTTTGGTATTAGTTTTTGGTTAGCTAATTACATAAATAATAATGGCATTCTACCTTGTATTCTTGTTAATTATCACAAGTTTCTCTTGTCCACTAAATGTAAAGCTTTATGAGTGCGAGGTAAGGTACTATGTCTCACTCATCTTTGCATTTTCTACAGCCTGTTATTATTCACATCAAGTAGGTCCTCAATATGCATGTATTTATAAACTTGAATTTAATTCTGGAGACCGTCTGCTTCTATGAGAGTGTTTGGGAAAGTCTGTCAAAGCTTTAGCAGAGAAACACCCAGGAAGCTTCCCCGGAGAGCCCTGCTCCACCACAGCAAGGCGCCTGCGCGTCGCTCTCATCACACGAGGGCGATTTGTGAGAGTTTTGATGGGAAATCATTAGGCATCCACCTTCCGGTCCTGGTTTGGCTCCTCCTGACTTCTTGCTGTTTCCTAACCTTAAAAAGTCCTTAAAAGGCCCCCAGTTTTCTTCAGGTGATAATGTGAAAAAGACTCCAGCACCATGGTTCACCTCCCAGGACCCTCCGTTCTTTAGGGACGGACGAAATGGCTGGTGTCATCGCTTACAAGAGTGTCGTGAACTCGATGGAGCTTATGTTGAGAAACAAAGTTTATATTTTCAAAATTAATTCCATTTCCATGAACTTTTTGCAGTTCCTTCATATACTGATACATGATATACATGCACAGGAGTGTACCTGTCCACAGAGAAGGCCTTACAACAATGGCCCGCCCAGGAGTCGCGCGCAGCCCCAGGGGCCTGACTGTGATCCTGAAACACCGTTCCATTCCCAGGAAAAGAAATCAGAGCAACTGGGAGAAGGATATGTGGCAGGAAATGAGCAAAACGACCCTGGGCTCTCTCGACATGCCAATGTGCTTGGCACACTCCAAGACCCACCCGAAGGGGCACCCACTGGCCACACATGGGCCATTCTCAGCTTCAGTAAGGGTTAGATTTGTGATGAATTGAAACCCATCAAATACATGTACATCCATGTATTCCTAAGGAAACCACTAACTGGTTACCTTTTGAGGCTGACAAGGAACCAATTCATTATTTCGAAAACTGAGTAAGTTAAAGGAAAGAATCAAGTGTTTATCCTGCCTTTCCACCAGGCAACTGACCAGCCGCCAAGGGGACGCGCCCAGCCCTGAATGAGGAAACCCTCAGTCCCCTTCATCTTCAGAGCCTGCCAAGAGGCCAGAAACGCCGGGGGACCGGGAGCAGCCCAGCGCACGTGATCCGGGAGCGGCCCGTGCTGCCGCTGGCTCCTGGCAGGCCTGCAGAGCCACTCTGCTCTCTAAGTCTGCACCACTGTCCACGTCAGCCACACCTTCACCTTGATGAGGTCCTGGAGGCTGCAGCTCCATGAGGAGACAGTTGTGGGATCTCACGGAAATAGCTTTCAAGTGCTTCTTTGGTGAAAGAAGCTTAACTCTTAATGAGTTATTGGAAGGCTGCGTTGTATTCCTGAAAAGAAACCTGAGTCATCCAGGGTTACCTGGGCTCAGCTGTTTAGGCCATGTTGGTCGATTCACCTTCTTCGATGCCACCTACCCAGGGCATTATGTGAGTTTCACTCTGTTGCCTGAAATCCACACCCTTCCTCCCCCCTCGGGCCAACCAGAGCTCGCACACCCAAGTGCCCTTGGCCGCATCCCCTTCCTGGCCGGGTCACCTTCCTTCCATCTGTCAGGCTCATGGACAGCATGGGGAGCTTCACATTTAAGCCCAGACATCTAAAGAGGAAAGGGATTCACCAGACCCCTCAGTGGACAGGGCCTCAGAGAGCTGCCCACTGTGGAGTGAGTGGATCACAGAGAGACAGAGCCTGGCGGCGCTCTGACGGGGCACCTCCTCGCCTCCTCCCGGAGCTGCGAGGCAGCTGAGTCTCTCCGCTCAGCTGCATTTTGCTCACACGTACGGGTGAGCAAGGCCAGCTGGGCGACGACTCTGTGGCGCATAATTGTCTCTCAGGAACCTCACGTGGTTTACCAGTCCTTCCCTTCCTGTCCAGCTTCCGGTAACTGAGAAGAGGACTCGCCGTTGTGGACGGGAGCCCACCTTGCCATGTGCTGTCAGAAGCCAATTGCTCCAACCCATTGATTGCGCATTGTGGGTATTTCTGGGGTGGGCGGGGAGGGAGAGGACTTCCGGCTGGTTTGCTGGATTTCCAACCACGCCTTCCATGCATGTCTGGTATTGACATGGGCGGAGACCTTTGTGCATGACAGTCACAGACACTGGACTGCAGGCTAACCCTGGGGCGAGTGTGGTCTCATGATCATGCAACACATCTTCAAGCCCGGACTCAACCCCATGTAACCTTGAACTGTTCTGCATATATTTTTTTCTCCTCCATTCTCCCTCCCTCCTCCAAAATAATCTGCTCTGCCACATGCCGCGTCATTTTTCTTGTCTCTGCTGATTCCCATTCAGGAAGTTTTCATGAAGGTGAATATTATTGTTGTCTGTTAAGAGGAAAGACAAGTGGGGCTCTGGATCCACGGAGGCAGGTGTTAATTTTGGCTCTGCCATGTCCAGCTGCAGAAGCCACGTGACCCTGACCCTCAGTGCCACACCCACATAGGGAATCTAGTGGCCCCCTTCCCAGCCATCCCCCCTCCCTCCTGCCCCTACAGACAGCATGTTCTGGAATCCTACTGAAGTGGACCCCCTGCGGAGGAAAAGACTCGCTGACCACCCCCCTGCCGAGTGACTTAGAAACACCATCAAAGGCCTTGCTCTTGTGATGTGTTGAGCTCAAACTAAACTGGAGAAGGAGGCTCCTCTCAGATGGAGGCAGGGATGGATATCTGTCCGCTCCAGACTTTCGGTAGAGTCCAGTTATCTAGGCAGAAATCCAGGCAGCGGGACCACTGTTTGCTTTGCTCTGTGTACAGCTGGGGAAGGTTCAGAGAGAAGCGTGGTGGTCGGAATCTCTCTATGCATTGCAGGGTCCAAGCCATCTAGAGGGGAGTCTCAGGGTTGGACCCCATAGGATAATAGGACTGCCATCTGGGCAGTGCCAGCTGCATGAGTCAGCAGCACGTGACTGTCCTTATGGGAAATAGCAGCAAACAAGTCTAAGTTCCCTGACCTCCCACTACCCCCAGGAGAGTTACCTCTGGTAGGGGAGGGAGATAGGACAGTCACAAAGGGAGACATAAGGCACATTCAGGGTGTGATCATTGCTATAAAGAAAGTAAAAAGTAATGAGATCTGTGTGCCATGGCAGGGCCAGGGGACGGTGTCCCTAGAAGTGGGGGACAAGCCCGGGTTCCAGTAGAGGTGATGCCAAGAATCTGCAGAGGCTGCTGACCAGCTCTGAGGGAGGGCATCGGCCGAGGGAAGAAGGGAGGGCGGGTGGCAGAGGCGGGTCCAGGTTTTGTGGGATCAGAGTTTGCACACTGTCAGGGGGAAAAATACCAAATGCCAGATACATTATTGTTAGGTTGTGAGAGGGACCCATGAGGAAAGGCTGAAATTGGCTCTTTGCTCTCCATGGTGGCTGAGGGTTAGGCCCTCTCCAAGCCTCCCTGCAAGGGCTCTGGGATGCACCGGAGGCCTGGAAGAGGGACGCAGGGGCCAAAGCAATGAGCTTTGTGCCTCGAGAGAGCTTCTTGCAGAGAATGGACTGTGGTGGAGCCAGAGCGGGGAGGCGAGTTGGGAGACAATGCAGCCTTGAATAGAGGGCGGAGGGGTGAGCAGGCGTGGGGTGGGCTTTGGAGGTGGAGATGACAGATTTGCTGATGGTCTGGGGAGGCACATAAGGGAAGGGTGGGAGCCAAGAACAGAGGTTGCAGCACTGTTCTGTCCTGGAAACAGGAGACCGCGGAGGTGGGCAGTGGCAAAGAGCTCTGTTTAGACAGATGACATGTGAAGTGTCCATGAGGCAGCTGTGTCGGCAGGAGCAGATGGCATCCGCAGTGTGTCTGAGAGAGGATGATCAAGGGACTACTCACAGAAGGAGGCAGGAGGGACTGTGAGTCTTCTGTAAATAGGGACTGGATCACCTGGGCCATTCGGGGAAGGAGGCTGACATTGATCCTGCACCTGCAGGAGTGAGGGGAGGGTCCTAGTCACAAGAGCTGCAGCCTCGAAAGAGGAGCTGCCTCCCAACAGAAGCTGTGGCTGTAGGTAGAGTTCCTCGGCTTGGCAGGGGGCTGCTGGAGGCTGCTGTGACCCTGTGTCATGCTGGCGCCACCCACTGGCTGTCCCCAAGAGGAGCCAGGGAGCAAGGGACCCTGGAGAGGCAGCCTCACAGGCCTCCTGCAAAGGGTGGGCTGCAGGTCCATCTAGAGTGCTGAGTGGGGCATGGTCCTCATGGTTGCCAAATGGACTGGCCCCTGGAGTTCCAGAGAGGGGGCTGGGCCAGATATGAGAACTTGGGGCCAGCAGCATGTGGATGGACTTGGGGCCTCGGGATGGAGTGTGGGTGGAAGGGAAGCAGCAGGAGACAGCTGGGGTCCACTCCAGCACCGAGAGGCTGGGAAGAACAGAGCCTCACAGGGGGTCAGTTCCTGCCGAGGCTGTGGGCCTGGCACCATGAGGTGCCGGTAGGAGTGCTGAGCTCAGGTAACGTTCCAACCACAGGGTTGATCCAGGACAGATCTGAATTTCAGCCATCCTTTCATCCCATAGATTTTGAGCACCTCCTGCATGCGGGATTGTGGGTGGCATGGTAATTCAAAGGTTTACATATCTGGATGAAAACAAAAACATCCAGTCAAAAATCTCAGTGCTTTCAAACACCCAGAAATTAGACGTCACCCGGATACAGCTTAGCACCTTAGGTTTCTTTCCCCATTTGACAAAAATGCCACAGAAGGTAAGCACAGTGCCACGTGTTTTGAGCGAGGAAACGGGGCTGAAGGGAGCGCAGCGCCTGTCCGCGCAGCCCCACGCTGCTCCCACGGGCTGTGTCCACGCAGCGGCCCTGAACCTCCTGAACCCCCTGAACCTCCTGAACCTCCTGAACCCCCTGAACCTCCTGAACCTTCTGAACCCCCTGAACCCCCTGAAACTCCTGAACCTCCTGAACCCCCTGAATCTCCTGAACCTCCTGAACCTTCTGAACCCCCTGAACCCCCTGCACCTCCTGAACCTCCTGAACCCCCTGAACCTCCTGCAGGTTTATCTGAGAGTAGCGTCCCGCCTCCCGCACGGCCTATCCCCAGATCAGGCAGCAGGGCAGGCGACCTGGGGACCGTGCCCTCACCTTCCAGGCTGGCGATGCCCAGGCTGGGAGAGTTCCACTGCGGAGCCCACGGGTGCCCCTTCACCCTCTCCGTCAGTCGGGTTTGATTTTGGTTTCTAAGCAACATGTGAAGGGGACCTCCCAGGACGGTCACCCCCACTCGCTGTCTTGCAGGTGAGCAGAGTGGAGCGCGAGAAGAACCAGGAGCTGAGGCAGGTGCGCGAGCACGAGCAGCACAAGAACGCGGTGCTGGTGACCGAGCTCAAGAGCAAGCTGCACGAGGAGAAGATGAAGGAGCTGCAGGCCTTGCGCGAGGCGCTGCTGCGGCAGCACGAGGCCGAGCTGCTGCGCGTCATCAAGATCAAGGACAACGAGAACCAGCGGCTGCAGGCGCTGCTGACGGCGCTGCGCGACGGCGCGCCCGACAAGGTCAAGACCGTGCTGCTGTCCGAGGCCAAGGAGGAGGCCAAGAGGGGCTTCGAGGTGGAGAAGGTCAGGATGCAGCAGGAGATCTCCGAGCTCAAGGGTGCCAAGAGGCAGGTGGAGGAGGCGCTGACCATGGCCATCCAGGCCGACAAGGTCAAGGCTGCCGAGATGCGCAGCGTGTACCACCTGCACCAGGAGGAGATCAGCCGCATCAAGAGGGAGTG